AGGAGGGAGGGGTGTCCTAGGGTGGACTACTGAAGAATCGTGGAGATTTTTCTCTGCTGATAGTAACCTGAAGTAAATGAGGGCATCCAATGGTAAATTGAGTTAAAGTGTTTGGGTGGTTATAAATTCCCATCTATAAGTTGGTATGACTAATGGTGGGATGAAGAAAATTGAGTCAAAAGTGAATTTAATGGTATTTGGTGGAGTATCACAAAAAGAATTGGATTTAGTTAGCAGAGAGTAGTTAGTGATTCCTCATTTAAGCTAGAATAGGTTTAGTTTTGGTGCAAGAAAGAATATCATGGAAATAGACATAATCTGTGCACTATTTTGAGCCAGCATGCTCGGAGGGCTTTTTATTGCAAATCGTATTCTCTTCATTTTTATTCATTTGTGTGCATGAATCAGGTTTGAATCATTATTTTCCCTTTTTTTGGGTCAAACTTGGGGTAGGGTGACGATATGAACTATTTCTCCTTTTAAAGCACCTGTGGAAGACATTTATGCTCTATATGTGCGCTGCGATGAATCAGAGTAGAATCCATGTGATACAGAGCTAGCAATAACAGAGTTTTGACATTTATCACATGGTACATTATCTTAGAAAAGGGAACTAGTGCCCCAGTCGATAGGGTCATTCCAATTATCTGTAAAGAAATGCATTCAGAGTTTAAGATAGGGTTTTGTCGAGGTTTGATTGCTATTAACTTCTGTTATTCCGAGTTCTCTTGTTATAATTCTTTTTTCTTGTGTCGATGTATATATGCATCTATAGATATGTATATATAAAACCGTAATGCGTTGCATAGATTGGTATTGGGATAGATTTTACACTAAAAATTGTGGGCATATAGAACAAGTACATCCCCCTCTCATCTTATTTGTCATGCCTTTTCATGAGCTACATTGTCATAAGCTGGACATCGAGCACTTCTTTGCATAGTTGAGGGACTTTATTCTGTGTGTTGAGAACTGTTCTTCTTTTCCGCATTGCTTTGGAATTGGCTCAACTTAATCTTGTCAAGGTAATCCCCTTGTTTGGATTTGTGGTAAAATTAATGTTTGCACTAGAAGATAAGGATTAGGAAACGGAAATGTTGAATGATTTTCAGAATGTAAGGTTTTTTTTTTTTTCGAGTTTGCATTTTGTTGATGTGTGTTTTAGAGGTGGATGTCTTATGTCTAAGGATCAGCCATTGAGGAAAAGTGCAATGAGGATAGAATCATCGATTGAAGTTGCACAAAAATAGAACTTATGTAGAGTAAGTTCACCTCCTAGGTCCCCAGTCAACTCTACAATGCTTTTCTTTGTTTTGGCTGTTGGTGTTGGTTTTGTAGAAGTCAATGTACATACTAAAGCGTTTCCCACAATCAAAGCAATTTGAATTGTGTGGGTTGAGAGGAACCGTAGACTTTTTGAAGGAAAGGAGGAGAGGGATTTGTTATGGGATAATGTGAAGTTTTTGACATCTCTTCTATATGTGGTATCTTATGAATTCTGAGACAATCCTTTATCGGTTCTTCAACACAATTAGAAAAGCGTTTGTAGTTGATGAGTCTTTTTTGGTGTACTTCAAATTTGTTTATACATTTGTAAATCCACCATTTATGTACATTTTGATCTTTCTATGAAACGAAAGGTGTTTTCTGTCAAATAATTTGGTGGATTGAAGAAAATGTGACACCAAGGGCTTCTACTCGCCCCCTGGATTGCGGGGGGCCTTTAAAGGGCATCTATGTTCTTTTATATCGGCTTCTAATGTGATTTTGATATGGTTCAATAAATGCTGAAGAGATACGGATTGAGATAGTAAAGGTCACGATTGCAGGGTCTGAATGATAGTGTGGAGGACAGTGGAATTCAGAGTATGTGCTTAAGAAGGATCATGGTCATTTGCTAAATAAAGAGTTGGGGTTCGTAGAGGTCATTTCGTGCCAACGTTTGAGGTAATAATCAACCTATCCGAGGTTCATTTCTGGCTTTGGTTTTCTCATCTCTTCTTGCCTTTGAATCACTCTAAATAGCATTAACCCGTGAAAATTGTTATGGTGTTGATGGTTAAGTATTGGCATACCATCCTAATTTAGCAGTTAAAAGAAAAGTACACTGAACCCCTCCCAACCAATTGGTTAGCTGCTGCAATCACGAACCCCTCTGGAACAGCACTTGTGTGTTAGTTGTGCAGTTTAGGGGCAGAGCCACTAAATCATGTCTGGGTGAGCACGAACATTGTAACAAGTTTTAATTTTTTCTTTACAATCGATAAAAATACGATAATAATTTATATTAAATTATATTTTATTTAATAATTAAAAATTTATTGAACCCAAAAGACCAAAAATTGGTAAGCATAGTATTTAGCAACAATAACAACAAAATTACTTAAAATCATTTAGAATTAATTTCAATGAATTTTCATATTTTGAAAGCGTTATATAACAACTTTATTATGCAGTTAAATGTACACTCTATAATGTCTACTGTAATTAATAAAATAAATGTCAAAATTACAAGTAAACTAACTAACAGATATATAATGTCTTTTCTATTTATAAGTATATTTTTGAACCAGTTCATCAATCCCTACTACATTCAAAAATTCAGTGCTAGATCAAACAAAAGTGTTGTGAACTATTTAGTATCGTAAAATTGTCGCCAATTGTTCAAATGGGACAAAATATTCATATCAGATTTTTAAATAATAATTTTAATTTGTGATTTTGATTTAATATATACATACAAAATAATTTTTATTGCACAGTGACAATAGTTTAATTAATAGACAGCTACATAACATGTCTAAAATGTGTTCAGAAATTTGTAATCATTTGATATAGGTTTATGTAAATTGATGTGACAAAAAAATTAGGATGGACATAATTTGAAATATTGAAAAAATTCAAAAAAATACAAAAAAAAAAAGAAGCACGAATTGTTTTGCATCTAGTTTGATGTGGTGGTATGCCCGACATATTATGCTTCTTATTCAATTGATTCTTTGCATCTCTAAATGATCTTGAAATCGATAATGCAACAACCATTTTATTTAAGGATAAGCAAAGGAAGAATTACACCTACATTTCCTAAAGTTTGTCATTTAATCATTTGGATCTCTTGACGATTAAAATATTATACACAGACTCCCTGAAGTTTGTAAGTGTCTAACATATAGACCCGTGCTATTAACGTCCATTAGTAAATTATATCCAGACCCCTAAAATTTGAAGCTTGTAATACTTAGACTATTCAAGTTTAAAATATTATACTTAGACAAAAAAATACTCAAATTAAAGATAAAATATTAAATATTTTAAATTTTTAATATTTTAAATCTTATACTAAATAAACTTTTCGCTTTGGGTTAATTTTTTCATCATCAAATGCAAACATATAAAATAAAAGCTTAATCAACACATTTGTATGTTTCATTATATCATCCATTGACAGAAAATTCAAATAAAATCTCAATTTTTTGAGAAAAAAATAGTAATCAGTACAAATATATCAAGAACTCAATTCAGCACTTATTTATATACAATTTATACTGTCTATTGGAATAAAAATAAAGAAAGTAAACAAGGGGTCAAACTGTAATGAACACAATATTTTTTATCTTTAATTGAGGTAATTTGATCGTTTAATAAATTATATTAGTTCTGTAAATAAAAGGGTTCTAGTATAATATTTTAAATTTGAGAGATCTAAGTGTTACATGCCTATAAATTTCAAGGGGTTTGAGTATAATTTACTAATAGATATACTAACGAAAATTGACTGCAATGATCTAAGTGTTAAACTCGTACAAACCTTAGGAAACTAGTGTATAATATTTCAAATGTTAGGGGATTTAAGTGATTAAGTGACAAATTTTAAAAAATTTGGGTATAATTTTCCCAACCTTTTAAGTTCAGCTATCAAAGGATCGAATTTTATTACGAATCTGTTTAATCAAATACAATACTTGTGTCCATTTATTTGAAACCGTTTAAATATTTTAAATTGGATATGAATATGGATATACAAAAATTCGATTTGATACAAATCTAACCTGATTAATATATATAGTGATTATTTGTATTTGATCTAAAAAAAAGATTATTTGTTAAAATTTTGGTGAAATACCATTAATCGGATCAAGTAATTAGATCGAATGTCTGAATATAAGCGAATTCAAATATGTATTAATATTTTTATATCTGTCGAGCAGATTTTTTTAATGAAAATCGAATGAATCAAAATTTGATCCGAATTCGATCCGCTGACAGACGTACTTTCAAGGGCTAGACCAGCTTTTCCTCATCAACTTCATTTTTTAATTAGACCCCACTAATTATTCAATATTGTAGTTGCCACACTTGACGTGATAAACGAATTGCTAAAAAATATATTATTGCCCCCCAAAAAAAAACTATTTACTTTGTTACCTTGTTCCTGTTGTCACTTGCCAGTTGTTTATACATATGCATCTTCTAGTTCTACCAATAAAACAGTATAAAAATTCATTTTCTTAACAATTGGTGGCATAGTGCACGGAGCTTCCGTTACTGCAGAATTTAGCAACCGTATGCGCAACGGTTATTTTCGCGAGTCGACCCTCGATTCTAAAATCATAATTAAACTTTGCACTTAATCTGCACGTCCTAAACTAATGAAACTAATGCAATTCACAGGTATATCCGGTGACGATCTCCAAAAACAATGCTTCTGTTAGTGCCAAAAAGTCCATCAAACAAACACAAATGTTCATGGACATGCATTCCAGTGGTCCATTCTGGCTATAATATCAAAGACTTCCTCTTAGCCGAGAATTCCTATAGAAACAATCACAATGTCCTTGTTATTTCCTCCAACAAAGAACACATAGCTGTCAAGGGATCTTACAAGAATATTACAAAACCATCAAAGATAATCATCCACAACATTTCTATTTGTACACAGCTTTCCCTGATAAACCTAAAAAACTCGAAGAAAAAAAAAAACCTTTGAACTTGATCCTACAATGGGTTCTTCTCAAATTCTCAAGTATCTTATGGCTATGGCTCTTTTTCTGTTATGCATACGCGCCATCGCCGTGGAGGAGCCTCCAATAGGTTCCCAAGGAGAAGATAGAGAGGCCCTTTTGGCTCTCAAATCTGAATTCAACAATTCTTTTCTTGATGACAATTGGACTAGCCTCATTTGGAATATGAATAACACCCCAAATTGGTATGGCATTCAGTGTTTAAACGGTCGAGTCACCGGAATTCTGCTGGAAAATATGAGTCTGACTGGAGAAATCAAAGCTGATGCACTTGTCAACCTCATTGAGTTGTCCATATTGAGCTTTAAGAACAATTCCATTTCAGGGAATTTAATGGACTTCTCAAAGAATCAGAAGCTGAGAGAAATTGATTTATCAGGCAACCAGTTTGATGGATCAATATCAACTTCACTTCTGAGTCTTAATCTCTTGGAGTCATTGCAGCTTCAAGATAACAGATTAACTGGTTCAATCCCAGATTTCCACCTGCCTAACTTGAGGAAATTCAATGTCTCGAATAACGATCTCTCGGGGCCGATACCAAACGCTCTCCAATCATTCAATTATAATTCTTCATATGAGGGTAACAAGGATTTGTGTGGACCACCCTCTCCCACAGACTGCGATAGCACCAATACTGAAGCATCAAAGGCTAACAATTCGAACGGTTCAACATCTCGTTTTGCAGCCATTTTGATTGTTGTAGATGTTGTTGGCCTAATTGTTATTTTTTTCCTTTTCATTGTTTACTGCAAGAAATCCAGGAGGCTCAAGAAACAGATGGAGAGACTGGAAAGACTGAACTTAGTGGTAAAAGAAGAGGAAAAAAAAGATGAGACACAGATAGAGATAACAGAAGAGAGAAGCAGAATAATTCAAGGAGAACAAGAAAAAGGGAAGCTCACATTCATGGATGATCATGAAATGCAATTTGAGCTTGCAGATCTATTAAAAGCCTCGGCGGACGGATTGGGGAAAGGGAATTTTGGAAGCTGTTACAAGGCTGTGGTGAATGATGGACTAGCTGTGGTTGTGAAGAGGCTAAGGGACTTGAAACCATTGAGCAGTGATGAATTTGTGAAGCAACTGATATTAATTGCAGATCTGAAGCATCCAAACTTGTTGCCTCTTCTTGCTTACTACTATTCCAATGATGAGAAATTGTTGATGAACAGATTTGCATTGAATGGCAACGTTTACAATCGCCTTCACGGTAAGTTTATTATCGAATTGTTCATGTTCTTGATCATTCTTCAGTTGGTCCCTAAACATGTTATATGAAAAACAACAAGATATAGTCGTTGGCTAACAAAAATATAATGCATAATAAGATCTTGCCTCGAGCGAGTCACATATTATTTGATTATATTTTAGAAACTTTTTTATACTTTAAGGTTAAAGCATTAATCTAAAGAAGTGTTCATAGAACTCCTGTAAATGGCTCAATCAATTATATACCTTCTCTCTTGATTCTTTGGATAGATGTCCAAATTCGTATTAGAAATAATAAGAAAACTGGGAATTAGAATAGTACGAGGAAGACGATTACTTCAAAGTGATTTTGGAACAAATGGATGTATAAAGAAATCGAATTTGATGCTATGTCCATTCCCTGTATGGAATTTATATCTATACATGCAAATATAATATTGGAGATTCTTTTCCTCTATGTTCTTGGCAACCAAACACACAAGTCTTTATGCAATTATACTGGGTGTCATGTATAGGAGGAAAAGGGACAAAGGATCGGATTCCATTTCGATGGAGCTCAAGATTAGCTGTTGCTCGCGGTGTAGCTCGGGCTCTGGAGTATTTGCACCTAAACCATAAATCCCAAACCATTGTTGTCCCTCATGGGAACTTAAAATCATCCAATGTTCTCCTCGACGAGAACAATATGGTGCTTGTCTCGGATTATGGTTTCACTTTGCTCGTTGCACCGCCACTCGCTGCTCAACGTATGACTTCATACAAATCACCAGAGTACCAAACTTACAAAAAAGTTTCGAGAAAGTCAGATGTATGGAGCTATGGATGCCTGCTTTTAGAGCTCTTGACCGGAAGAATTCCGATTAACTCAGCTCCACAAGGCATCAATGGTGTTGAGCTGTGCAGTTGGGTTCACAGGGCTGTTAGAGAAGAATGGACGGCTGAGATTTTCGACGTGGAAATATCAGTGCAGAGAGTTGCCAACAATGGGATGGTGAGGCTACTACAAATTGCATTGAAGTGTTGCGATAAGTCACCGGAAAAGAGGCCGGAGATGAGTGAGGTGGTGAGAGAGATTGACAACATAAAAGTGGTGGCCAACTCGGAAGACGAAGAAGATTTCTCGATGGATCCATCGTTGACGGATGACTCCATTTCTGCAACTCCATCCTTGGTCATTAGTGGAGAAGAGTGATGATTTGGTTATGACTCATGGCGGCGAGAGTCTCGGACACTAAACTATTTTTAATTTTTTATTTTTCACTTTGCTACATCAGTTATGGCATATAAACAATTGTTTGTTATCATGGCAACTATAAGATTTTCTATCCCTTGTAGTCTTAGCCCTTACCTTGGAATTGGGTGCATGAGACCTAATTTCCTTGGTACATTTGGTGGTTTTATGATAATGTTTTGTCACTTTGTCCAATGCTGTCCAAAACAGTATCAGCTTGCTACTTGTATTCTTATGTCAAACAGAACTGTTTTTGTACTTTTTTCAGAATAAAATGAGAAATTAATAAAAAAAAAAAAAAAGGGTTTTAGAACACATAATTATAGGGTTATGGATTCTTACTGGTGTATTATCTACCAATAAATAAGAGAAAGGGTAACATGTTGAGTCATATTAGAAATAGAATTAGGGTATTATGTATATGTTGTTTGGTTTTTTTTATTTTTAATTGTTAGCGATGAGATTTGAACTATTAACATTTTTGTATTACGATTTACGATTGCTTTAGCGTGTATATGTTTTTATACTCAATATCATACATCCAATATTAGATAAATAAATGAATGCATTTGCAATGAAATCACAAGATTTTAAATGTTTGAACTTTAATTAGTGTTTTTAAAAAATAGATTAGTAATGAGAATTAGTATCAATCGCGTGTTTTATAAACTCGTGATTACAATGTAAACGTTAAATGTACTTTTGAATGAAGAATATAAAATGGTGTATATCCATCAAACGAGATTTTCACATGAAAACGACAAAAAAAATCTATTTGATTTGTTATAAGTGTTAAACATTATTTTTTTTTTATTATTATTTTTTCTTTTTTTCCTTTAAAAGGGTAAGTGTTAAACATTAATAATTGTTATGAACCGACAAAGTCTAAACCCATCCTCCTCGGAATAATTTTTACTGAATGTTGTACCAATGGACGGACCAAAGCCAATCTTTCGTCCGGTTCCTAAACAAAAGATCACTCAGAGAAGTCTCGTACCTTGCTAAAAAATCGATTATTGCTTATCTTTTTCAACCACACATTGTTTAACTAAATCAAATTCTCTCTCAATACGTCTCTCCACATTATTGTTATATCATTAATACTTATACTTACTCTGCTATTCTGTCCAAGTTTGACTGAAAAAGAATTACAACACTATTATGGGGAGATCGTGGTTGCATGCAATAAAGGCGGTCCACTCATCTAATTACCAGAAGATAAAGTTCCCAACACTGCAGGGCATAATAAAAATTCGGAGTGATCAGGCGTCGGCAAAAAGTTGTTTCTATGCCACGATGAAAACGAGAGTCGGCGGCCAGAGTCAGGAGCGTGATCCCGATGCGGTGGTTGCCAAATAGCAATCACAGAGCAGTCATCCGAGAGTGGACGAGCCCATTACAGAGCCGGCCGACCGGTCTACTGAGGCCTTGGTGAAGATTCTCCTAAGCCTAGATAGCGGTGAGAAGTACTTTTTGATAGGAGAGTCACTCAGCGACACAGAGAGAAATGATATGGCCTCATTTTTACGCCATAATGCCGGTGTCTTTGCATGGACCCAGGCCAAGATGACGGGATTAAGTGCCGAGGTAATGACTCATCAGCTCCATGTGAATCCCTCATTCATACCCGTTAGGCAAAAGGCCCAGAGAACGGCGCCTCATCACGCGAAGGCTGTGGATGAAAAGGTGGATAAGTTGTTGGGGACAGGTTCCATCAAGGAGGTACAATTCCCCCAGTGGCTATCCAATACCGTGTGCGCCAAGAAGAAAGAAAGGAAATGGCTAGTTTGCATGGATTTCACGGACCTAAACAAGGCTTGCCCAAGGACGAGTACCCCTTGCCCAAGGTTGNCCAGTGGCTATCCAATACCGTGTGCGCCAAGAAGAAAGAAAGGAAATGGCTAGTTTGCATGGATTTCACGGACCTAAACAAGGCTTGCCCAAGGACGAGTACCCCTTGCCCAAGGTTGATCAGCGGATAGATGCCACAATCGGCCACAGGCGCATCACCTTTATGGACGTTTGGTCTGGATATCACCAGATTTTCCTACATGAATCAGATCATGAGAAAACGGCGTTCATCACGCCCCGGGGAATCTACTGTTACACGGTGATGCCTTTTTGGTTGAAAAATGCTAGGACGACTTACCAATGTTTGATGAACAAAATTTTCAAAGACCAGCTCGGCGAAACGATGGAGGTGTACATTGATGATATGTTGGTCAAAAGCAAAGAGGGGGCCGACCATCTCTATGATCTCGGGACGACATTCGCCATCCTCCGGAAGTATAGCCTAAAACTAAACCCCTCGAAATGCACCTTTGGAGTGAGCTCAAGAAAGTTTTTGGGATATTTGGTTACTCATCGAGGAATCGAGGCGAACCCCAAGCAAATACAAGCAATCCAGAATGTTCGGGCGCCTAGGACCATTAAGGATGTTCAGAAATTGGTCGGGATGCTGGCAGCCCTTAACAGATTTATTTTTAAGTCGTCTGATAAGTGCAAACCATTTTTTGCCAAGTTGAGGGGGCAGCTAAGGGGGTTTGGGATGAGGAATGCGGTCGAGCTCTTGAAGGGATAAAGGAGTACTTGAAACATCCTCCAACTTTATCTGTTCCAGCGGCAGGGGAGATGCTTAGCCTTTACTTGCCCGTATCTCGAGATGTCGTGAGTGTAGCATTGGTCAGGGATAGCGAAGGGGCCCAAAGACCC